GGGGGGGGCGGGTCCTCCCAAGCTTTGCTTTTCTAGTTTCACTTGAGCTGGTCAATACATTTGGATACAATGCTAACTGCTATTCATTTTCATGCTTTGTGTTATCAGAAAAAAACGCTTTATATATTTTTATATATCAACAAAAAGCAAATAAACAGGAAACAACTGTAACAGACCTTTGCAGAGGCTTCCTTTGTCAATGGCTGTGAAGAGAGAGTCTATAAAACTTGTCACATGGGGCAGAACATTTTCTTTGTCCATTGGTCTGTCAAAAATAAATGGGGAGACATCTCTCTTACACTGACACCTACACATATATGAAAGTTTTCTTTCACATCTGTCTTTTATTAAATTACAGATAGCTCACCCCAAGTTTGAAACCAGCAGCAAAACATTTTTGTTATTTCCAGCTCACAATTTAAGTTGCAGCATTCACTGCACCTTCTTTCCAACTACTCCTTCCACACAAGATCATAACTATCGAAAAAGAACACTGTCTACAGAGGACAGTGCTTAAAACACAAACTGAAATGCGTCAAGAACATTTCTATGTACTAGAGTACTACATTTAGGGAGCAGGCAACCAAGAAACCGATACTGTATTCCTGACTTTACTATTGACTCATGGTATTTCCACACAGCATTTGTTTGCCTTCTAAGCCCAGTTTCCCCAAACTAGGTTTAGTAATTATTGTCCTTCCCTTAGTAAAATGATTTCTGATAGATCGTGAACTAGAGAGTATTACAGAAATATATGACGACAGTACCTTAGAATAACCCTTACCTAATATGTGGCAGTACAACCAAGGCAACCCAATGCTGTGAAAGGTCAGTGATGTCTTCCTTCTCTGGTAAATGGATTAAAGACAGTATATGATCCAACACAGGTACTTCTGCCTTTCCTGCTTGTCTTTCACTTGCTTGCTGCCTTGTATTAGAGCTAAAATAGAAAGAAACTTTTTAGTAACCCACTACTGCATATTAGAGATTGTCCCACTTCCTCCCACGATGATCAAAATTATGTTTGCTACTCCTAGCAAAAAGGACTTGGACAACCCAAGGGATTTTTTAATTTTTAATGTCCTCCACAGCACAAAGTATCATCTAGACATGGTGAGGAGCACAAAACATGTCCCACAAGAAACACCAGGTCTTTATTTCAAGTTCACATATTTCTAGAAGAAAAGACACTAGTTTTCAGTTGGATACCCTCACAATCAGGACATATAGCCTCTAGGAGCCCCTGAGAGTAATCTCTGTGATTACTGCTAATAAACTCATGATAACATTGACAGAGATAAACTAATGGATGACAGAAAACAACCAGTGAGGTGGAAGTCTGGGAACTTAAAAGGAATCACAAGCTGAGCCCAGATCAACATGCTTATGTGCAGGCAGAAAGGGCTGACACCATACTGGAACATGTGAACCCAAGTACTCCACACCCCATCGTCAGCAATCTTTCCATTCCATTCCATCCCGTGCTTGCAAGACCACAGTCATAAAAGGCTGAATAGGCTCCACCCTTCAAGAAATACAGAAGCTAACAAAAAGACAGCATCAAGAAACATTAGAGGTTTAAGAAATGAAATTTATGAAATAAACCTCAAGAAATTCGGTTTGTTGGTCCAGAGAAAGAAGATTTCAGATGTTTCTGATGATCAAAGCGTAATACCTCCAACTCTACTAAATAAAAATAGGAAAAACCTGCACAGTGGATTGCTTTTAGGAAATATAAAACCTTACATAAAAGGCAACACAAATCACCATTCTCCAGGTGAAAGGTTTGAATTATCTGAGCTACAGTGATCATTATCAGTAGATTAGCACCGGTCTTGACAGTGGTCAACCCAAATCTTTCCAAAGAGCCTCCAGGGTAAAGCAATCACTTCACTGCAACAAGGCTAGATTTACAACCAGAAGCCCTCAAAATGGGCCAGCACAGTGCTGTATCTGGATTAATTACATGTCCTTTGGTACACAGCTGCTTTACTGTAAGACTACAGTACTGCTGCCAAGAAAGCTCCTGGACAAGACATATGCAGACAGGGAAGAAAGATGGGGCACAGACAGGAGGACAGTAATGATGAGAACATGGACTGCAGCACTCACAACAAAGCTTAACTGCCCAAGGATACAGCATGCATCTTGGTGTAACAAATCCCCATCACACACCTACTGCAACACTCGCTAGTTTTTCTGTATCAGTGATAACCTTTCCAGAGCAGCATCTCTTCTCAAATAATCTCACAAAGAAAAGCGGCATCCTACCATATCACTTGGTTTGCAAATCTGCCAGCAATGTCTGGCAAATTACTGGGGAGCAACTTTTTCGTAGCTCTGCACTGCCTTCAGGCCTGCAGCTGTGCAGACACATCTAATGTTTGCTAAATGAGAATTCTCACCTGACAGATGATTCAGTGAAAGTGAGAGGATACTTTTCAAATGCCATCGAACCAATTGTAGGAGGCTCTGCTTTCACCAGAATGAGTTTAGCCAGAATTGCCATTGCCTCACCCTTTGTGAGGGCATCTGTGCCAGAGAAGAAGTGTTCAATGTACTCTAGAAAGCACGGAAGAAAATGCTGAAGGGAAACAAAAAGAAATCAAGGATTGGTAAGCCTCTTGAATTATTATCAAATCCATAAAAACCATGACACCAGCCAAAGAGGAATCCAAACACTCAGAAATGAGCCAGCAAAGCACCAAACTTAACAGTTCTGGTGAACCAAGACATCAGCACACAGACATCCTCTTATCCCAGAAAGGACAGTGATTTAATGTACAAACTCAGTTTGCTCCAAATCTAGTCTCCTGAGGACATTCCAGATCCCTAACTTTACTTTCACCTCTCATTCCATTTAATTAATTGATTCCTTCCAGATCACCCGTTCCAGGCTTGATCTATCTTCCTTATTCTTCATTTCCACTTACCTTGTCCAGAAGTCTTTCTCTTCATCCCACCCATAACAAGTCCATCACTTTAATTCCCGACAGACAAACTTCTTTTTGTGAGCAGATACTTGTCACCTTCCCTAACCCTGAGCACACTACCAAACTTTAACGCAATGGCATAAACTCTTTCATTTTACCAGATCATGCCAGAAATTTAAATAAACATCATGTGAATACACAAAAATGCTTCAGCATACATGGCAGGTAAACATGCTATGAATTTCTGAGTTGTTCCCTTTGTTAACAAAAATAAACAAAATGCACAAACGCTTCCACCTACCCTCTCAAATTGCTTCATTGTGAACATCGCTTCAGAGAAGTCCAAAAGAAAGCATCGTTCAAATCCACTTGCAAATACCTGCAAGGTGCAAATGAAAGGAACACGTTAACAAGAGACATTTCATAGCCAACTCTTCTACCCATGGGACATTCTGTCTGGTGTATGAATCAACCATGCTCTGAGACACTCAGCCTGGCGCTCTGTTCATGGCTAGCAGGGCTTGTTAGTTCAAACATACACAGCAATACTGTTTCCAGTGACAGTTTGGGCACAGGAAACCACAATTCTTTTTAACAAACCCTGCCAAGACAACCCTTTTTAACAAACCCTGATGGATCCAAGCTGACCATGTGCAAAACCAGCTTAGATATCTCTAGTGTACGTGGGAAACATAAGCTGAAAGTTCTAGGACTGCAGCATAGATGCACCACCTGTAAGGAAGAAGCTTAGGCCCAAGAGATATTTCAACGCAACGTTTCTCCTGTGTAGCAGGCTGCAGAAAGTTTACCACTTCACAGGCAGAGCTAAACTCTGTGCTTCTGAAGGACCACAGATAGGTCCACTGGTCCTCTGAGATACCCAGGATCAATGCTCCTCAATGCTAAGATGTGCAACACAGAAATACACACTCAGATGTCCCCTTCCCAGACCCTTCAGAAGACAAGGACAGCTTTAAGCCTCTTACCAGTTTAACAGAAGCCCACACAAATATCCTCAAATGTTTGAAGGACCACATCTTCTAAGCAAAACTGGACTCACGCCAGAGGCAAAGCCAATCTTACTGCACCACACGCCAACACTGAAGACCATATAAAATCTGTCCTTTTTTAAACAATTGCAACAAATTCACTTTCCCACTGTAAATCACATCTTTGCTTTCAAATATTTTTTTACATGCACAGTACAACTATGCTCCACACTGTAAATTACAAAATGATAATGTTCTGTAACAGGAAAACTGAAGAATCAAACTCCACAGTAGCATCTCCTACTAATCTTTGCAACACTGCACTTGATAGGAATATATGCAGCTAATCCTGCCAATGCTTCAGAAGCAGTGATAGTACTGAAATATGCCTACCCTTGTACTTTCTTAATCAAACTGCACTTGCCTGAACCTTCTTCATAAGGCTAAGCCATGCTCACTAAATGCTTGGCAGCTTAGGGAAAAATGTACTTTTTTCACTAAGTCCAACTCACTGATCTGCTTTATAATCCAAGACAGAAACATGTCCCTTCTCTGTTCTCCCTCCCTTCTCTACAGATGTGTAGGTGTCTGAATTAGAGCCTGCAGAGATGTCTGCCACAGTGGCATTGCCACACTGACAGTCTGTGTAAGACTGTTAAGGAGTCCCAAGACCTCAGCAGGCATTATTTAAGGTACTGGGCAGGTTCTCCCTTATCTGTACAAGAAGGCTAAAGGGAACCTTATAGTATATTTCCCAGCCTGAAGTGGAATGTCCTGAAATCAGCCTGCTCTAGGGAACCTGAACTCTGGTATTTCTGTTGGAAGCAGCAATTCTTGTTACCTTCTCAATAGCTTCTTTGGCCAAAGAATCAGGCAAGAAAACATTCTCAGCCAGCAGGAATGCAGAAATGGTGTTCAGCAGGGTCTTACAGCAAGTTGATGAGAGATCTGGTGTCTGTAACATTTTTATTAAAATCTGAAATCAAAGAAAGAGAATCGATATTCACCTATGAAGATAGTGAGTGCCTGGTGACCTGGACAGTCCATGGAGCAGGAGAGCATGGTGTTCTAAGCTTCAGGCCACAGAAATGAATCCTAAAAATCCTGTTAAAAGTTTGAAGGCACTAAACTCAAATTTGAGTCAAACATATGTGAATCTGGTAGAACCACTCCACCATTGATAAGGGTGTCTAGATTTCCTCCACAGTGGCAGGAACTGCAGCTCAGCATGGTCTCTAGAAGCAGTAGCCTGCCTTTCCCCTTGCCCATTTAAAGGAGGACTACACTAGCATTACAGTACAGAGGTAAATCCTCATAGGATCAGAGAGGTAGCAATACTCACAATAAACAACTCTGTTCACTCAACTCAAATCCCAGGCCCACCGACGAATCAGATACATGCACGAGCACTTCAGCTGACCAGACCTCTTCCATATTCAATTGATACTTCTCTAGCAAATCAGCCAAAGTGATGATCTGACCTACCTGACAGACATCTTCAGGCATTGAGACTTTGGATCCATTTGCATGTTCCACTACGATCAGATATGCTTGCAGAATCTTTTCCATCTGCTCTGAAGCCTTACAGCTGTTGGCCTTAGTTATTTTCCTTTGCAAGTTTAAGAGTGACTCCTGTTCAAATAAAAAAGAAATCATATCATTGAATGGTTGGGTTGGAAAGGACCTTAAAGATCATCTAGTTTCAACTCCCCTGCCATGGGCAGGGACACCTTCCACTAGACCGGGTTGTTGCTCAAAGCCCTGTCCAACCTGGCCTTGAACACTTCCAGGGAGGGGGCAGCTGCAGCTTCTCTGGGCAACCTGTTACAGTGCCTCACCACCCTCACAGTGAATTTGAAACCATACCTCAGTGTTTGAAACCATTACTCCCTGATAAAGAGTCCCTCCCCATCTTTCCTGTAGGCCCCCTTTAGGTACTGGAAGACTGCTATAAGGTCTCACCAGAGCCTTCTCTTCTCTAGGCTGAACAACCCCAATTCTTTCAGCTTGTCCTCATAAGGGAGTTGCTCCAGCCACCTGATCATCTTCATTGTCTCCTCTGGACCCACCGGAGCATGTCTATGTCCTTCTTAGTTTGGGGGCTCCAGAGCTGAATGCAGTATTTATTCCAAGTAAAGCAAAATGTTTTAGAGAAATGATCAGACCCTTACTGCTTCACTTACTGCTATTTGAAAGGCATTCTAAAGAATTAACATCTTCTCTACCCAACAAACTATTGTTGATTCACTTGTTCGTGTTCAACAAACTAAACCATGCACAAACACTATGTGATGCCCATTATGTAAAAATACAAATCCTGAATTCCTTGGACAGAAACACAAATTCCTCCCAAAATTAAGGTCTCCTGAAAAGCCAATATATGACATACGAAATAGGAAAGAGGAAGAGAAAGAAATGACCCTAGATCCACAATGGTATAGAAGCACCTAGCTCCCACTGGAATTATCAGAACTTAAGTACTTTTACACTTTATGCATAATTATGCTAATGTGGATGCGGAGAGGTTACTCATATCATCTATATTATATAGATAATGGAGCTGCTCTGAATTATGCCCATTACTGTCCCTGTCTGTCCAGAGAATATAAACTTCCATCCTTGATCCTATAAATTGAACCCAATGTAGAGAGCCGTCACAGATTACGTGAATATTTCCTTCTGAGCAAGATACACCCATGCACCCACCAGTTCCCAGGGTAAAAAAACAAGCCTCATTAAGCATAAAGGGAATTACGTCACCAATTTCCAAGATTTCATCACAGCTGCAGATGTAGAGTGACTCAGCTCCCAGGGATACAAAATATCCAGTGGCAAATCATTGTGTAGCTAATGACAGTTAGGCAATAACTTCTGTCATACTGGGTGAGGTAGAAGGAACAGGATAGGATTTTCTCAGGAACTATGGATAGTCACAGGGAGGAAATTCCAAGAAGGAACAAATAAGACTTAGCCATGCTCCCTCAAACCTCAGAGTGTAATGCCCAAGCAACATGGGAACACCCAGACTGAAAACATTATTATTTTCAGTACTTGGCTCTGGGGCTTAAACTTGGCTCTCCAGGCTCAGCCCAGGTCTTTGCTATAAAGAGAGTTGCAAAAAAAGCTTCCCCTTTGCTGTCACTAGGCCATTTTGGAACTGCCAATATGCCTAGTTCAGCAATACAAAGCCAGCCCCAGCACTCCCACTCCAGCAAGAGGCCTGTGATGTCTGTCTCTGCAAAGGCGCATCCTACAAAACCCGCTTGCCCAGACATGGGACTGAGCTCCAAGTCTCTCACACAGCAGTTCCCTTCTCACTCACAGCACAGCCACGAGGGTCACTCTGAGCTTCCAAAAGGGTGGGATTTTTTTCATATACATGACACAATGTACCCAAAAGCAAAACAATTTTGGTCCAATAAGACACAAATACTTTTCCTGATAAATGCACAGGGGTTTTTTCAGTCTCTGATGAATAAAAAAAAATAATCACTGTACCTCCAGGCACTTGAAGACAATGTCAAAATGTTCCTTATGGATATGGAGTACAGCTGATCTGATCATATGTTCAAATGCTTCTCCTACAGTTACCCACGGTAGTTCAATTTCTTCTTCAGTAATAGGCCCCAGCTTTAACAGAATTAACTTCATAGCCTGCACAGGAATATAGCACATCATGTCCTTATGCTTAGAAAATAAATCTAGCAATCCTAAAATTAGTGCAATATACTGCTGAAATATTCCAGTGATCTCAATTCTTTCTAGAACGACTACAGGGGGAAAAAAAAAAAAAACACAAAAAACGACTATTACTTAAAATCTAAAATATCAGCAAGCAGTACTATTTTAATACATAGGAATAACTAAAAACAACCTTTCCATATCAAATAATATTCCTAGAAAGTGCCTTTCAGATCTCATCAGGTAATGAACAACAGCATGCTTATCACCAAAGATCCACTGAGGTGGACAAGACAACACTCAGCGGTTTCACTGAGTGCTGACTAAAGCTCCATTACAGGAACATTTAAATCAGCAATCTTCTCTTGTCTTTACCGTCTCTGTGCAGGAGTGGAACATGTTTCGAACACCCTTGCACATCTCAAAAAGTAGCTGTCCTACACCTTCCACCTTCTCGGGGTGCTCCCCCAGGTCATGGAGCATTAAATTGAAGATTGCATTTTTATCAGAAACCTACAAAACATAAGCAGAAAATAAGTTATCTTCTATTCAGAGCTGCCAGATGGATAAAGGCAATAAAATGGCTCCACAGCACCATGTTACTTTCCTAGTCCTGCCTTCCCACAACAGTTCAAACTCACTATTTCTGCAACTACACAAGGAAATTGAAAGGAGAAAAATGATCAGCTATTCAATCACTACAGCCCTCCTGCCCCAAGATGTACACAGATCTACTGAGGTCACTGCAGCTGAAATATGTGCTTTTGAATATTCTTATGATTTTAAACATGTGCATAAATGCACCATTAAACTGGTCCCAACTGACACAAATGTTGCTGCACTGGTGCAGAAAGAGATGTGTATCAGCTAACACAGAATCCAGTCATTCAAAACTATAACCATACTTGGGAACACTGCAATGACTTCTGGCCCAAGATTTTAAACCCCTCCATTTCTGAGGATTTGACTTGAAGTTCAGCAATTTCTGAAATCAACCAACCAAACAAGTGTGCTTTATTAAGGTCTCTCAGCTTAGGACAAAAATGAGGATACTCAGATTTGCTAGCCAGACTCAGGAATCCTAGCTTTTGTATACTCTGACTAAATAAAACCCAACAACTACCACTCCCTTTTCCTTACTCCATGAAAGGCTGCTGTCTGATCCTGACTGATCTGCCTGAGAATGTTATATACTGTGATTTGCAGGAGTGCAAAAAGGTTGTCACAAGAGTTTCAGTTCTACAAAAGCCTTAAAACATCAGTGAAAAATTCAGTGAGCAAATGTGCCTTTACAAACTAAAGACTTCCTTCTGCAAGACTACCATACCATTTCTAGTCATTTTAGATAAACCAACCACAGACATTTGATTTAACTGCTCTTAAAACAGAGAGTGCTAAGGTCTCCATTTGCCACTGCCAATACAAAGTGCGTGACATTCTCAGGAAAATATTCACTTAAAATGGCAAATCAGGACATGCCGAATGCCAGTTCAGGCCTTGTTAACCCTTCTTTGGAGAAAACTTAATATTACGCATTGAATCCAAGAGCCACCACAGAATAGAGATAGCTTCAAAGTACAAACATTTCTTACCTTTCTCATTAGAAAGACAAAACTTTCAGCAGCAAAGTTTCTGATGTGAAGTTTGGAGTGAGCCAACAGGGTGCTATATAGGCTACAAAGACACAAAATAATTCACGGTCTTAAAGGCAATGCAAGAATTGCCAGCAATTGGTTTTAAAACTTAGGTTTTCGTTTACTTTGCCACTTTTTACAGACACTAAGAACCTGTCCTCCTAGAGAGGGCAAATTCCTTCCTCAGCTCAGCAGGTTCCTTCCCACTCTCCCTGGATAAAGAACAGAATTTTGCAAAGAAAATCAAATGACAATGCCAGGCAAATTAAGCTGCATTCAGAAGTACCTCCAAAATCTCTGGATCTTCACAGATTCAACTGCAGCATCAAGATCTTCAATATATACACTCAGCAGCAGTAAGTGATTTGATAAGCCAGATTAGTATTTCATCTGAGCCAACAGACTCTCCTGTGCACTTAGACAGGGGTGATAAATATTTGCAGTCCTCTAGTAAGCATCAGTAACAGCTGCAGGTGGCTCAGCACAAGTTCAGTGCAGAGCAAGCGGTGCCTCAGATTCCCAGCCAAGCAGCTGTTTTTTTCAACATGCTCAAGAGCTTTTTCTGGATTGGGGAGGAAATCTGTAACCCCTCTTTTCCTCCATCTGTTGCAAACTGAAATTAGGAAGAAGCAACATGGACCCACTGGCTAGGACAAAAACAAATGCCCTGCAACCACGGCAATATAAGATTGAACAAGCAGTCATACTGGGTCAGGCCACAGGTCCATCCAGCCCAGTATTTATAGTCTACAGCAGCAGCCAGAAACAGATGCCTAGGAAAAGTTTAAAAACAGGGAAAGCACACACAAAATCAGCCTTCAATCACCTGCAGCTCAATGACTCCCCAAGCCAGAAGTGGTTCCTATGCATTTATTAACTCCCCCCAACTTGGCCAGTTTCCCTCTGAACCTATGGCAACCTTCCATGTCCACAGCACCCTGCAGTAAGGAGTTTCAAAGCATACTGAACTGTGCATTCCTTATCTGCGCTCTCACTAAATGGATAGGAAGAAGGGAAAAACATACAGCGGAAAATACTGGGAAATGAACAATGAAAGACTCAAATGAATCCATTCAGTGTCATAGTCTAGGTGTCTGTAACTGGGAAAGACAAAAATGATACGACTGAGGTACTTGACAGATACTCAAGAGACTTGTGTTGAATTTAGACTTGGTCACAGGTTTCCAAAATGACTCTGACAATCCCGTCTTTCTGCGCTTTGTTTACCCAGCTGAGGTGGATGCTTCCTCTCCTATGCCCACAGGAGAAAAGGGGACCAAAGGCCCAAATCTGCAGCCCAACCCACATCCCTCCTCCAATACAGTGGCCCATGAAAGTCCGTAGGATCTCAAAGGAGATGCATATGATAAGGCTCAGAAAGCAGGGAAAGCATGCTAACAAATATACTGAAGCATTAAGCCATATATCCATGTGGCATTTACATTTCTATAGCATCTAATAACTGCTGATCAAGACAGACATTAAACACGGATATTACCTGTATATCTTGTGTATGTCCTTCACCATCAATCTCCATAAGTATTTGTAGAGATAGGAAAGAGAAGTAAAAGCCCATTCCAGCAGCTCTGTGTCCTGTGTATCCAGCAACTTGGTGATGGCCAGGAAAAAGTCATGAAAATGAGGATAGAAATCAGCCTGAAGATCTCGAGCCAGCTGCACCACTAGACTGTGTTTCAGAAAAATACATGTTAGTGATTTCAAAAACAAACCAATAAAAACCCAGTCAAACATTGCATAATCCAGTACATCTTTGGAAAGAATGACAGCATCACCTTTACTTCTCACTTTTATTTAAATAGCAGCTATCAGGCAACAGTGGATGGCAAGAATCTTAAGATTTAAAAGCAAAAAAAAGAATCAAGCAGATAACAGTAAACACGACATAAATTACTAACATCAAACAAAGCACATCAGTATTCTGTCTGACATTCAGTAAGCACTCAGGCTAATTTGCTTGCCTTGTCATAGGTGGTTTTTTGGTTTGGGTTTTTTTTTTTTTAAGACTTAGAACCATAAAGCTCTATCAGGGAAATACGACCACTTTGGGCATCTCATTGCTGTATTTTTCTTAGATACAATAATGAAATGTAACACTCGCAACAGAACTCATGTTTACTTGTAATACCATCAAGACTTCCGGATACGTTTAGTCAGCATGTACTTACTCTAATAGGGCTTGATAAGCAAGACTGCCTTCGACTTGCAAATGTGTCTTCAAGCTCTGCACAATGGCACTCTGGTAATAGACCAGCTGGTTGAAGGACTGGCATTTGTTGGCCACTTCATTGTAGAATTGGACTGTTCAAAGCACAAAAAAGAAACCCTGAAAACTAGTCCAGTTGCTGGTAAACATGTAGGATTAACAAATAATAGCTCTCCAGAGCCCAGACCAAAAACCAGTAAATGGAAAATCTCCCACTGGGCTCTGGATGCAGAAGAAATGCATTTTTACAGTTTAAGGAAAGCAAGAAACATGAATAAAAATGACACACCAAAATGCTGAGTGAGGTTCAGTTCCCTCCATTTCCGTAGTCCTTCGAAAAAGTAGGTGTCAACCTCCTGTCAAAGCAAAGATAAAATAATAGCTACCAATCCTAATGAACATAGCCTGCAAAGATGAGAGGTTCAAATGAAGAAAACTATCAAGTGCCTTAAATATTGTAAGAATATTTCAAGAAATCTTGATGATTCATTTCAAAAGTTGCTATGGAATTTCCCTGAAAATAAAGACTTTTCTTTCTATATTCAAAACATATTTGAAAACATTTTCTGGTGACAGGACTTGTTTATGTAACTGCTTTTTAGACCTCTGTTCGCTGGCCTTGAAAAATCGAAGACGCTGAGCTGTAGCCCACCCAGCACAAATGCTTTGGAATTTCTTTTAGCACCCTCACAGCTACTGAGTGGGAAGTTCAGAAGAAGGATCCAGCAGACCAGGAGGTAATAACCTGCAAAGCACTATAATCACAATGATGATTTGCAGGACACATCTAAATGACCCTTCTTTACGATCTGTAAAGACACATGCTCATGTTTTATATACACTGCGAGTTTTGCAACTACTCAGCACCTGTAAATCTTTGCAGGCCCAGACCTAGGACTGCTGACTGCCACAGCAGCATCTTCCATGCTCAGAAACACCCACTGGCTCACCAGCCACATGGAAACCATCAGGGTGGCACTGCCAAAGAGCCTCTATGGCAATACTGCGAATCAGGACAAAAGGTAAAGGGGAACAAAGCATGAAATGAAGCTCCAGGAAAGGGAGCTCTTGCAGGAACTTCTTTCCAGTTTCCTCCCAAACAAATTTCTTAAGTAAATCTTTTTATGGAGTATATCTACATGTAATGTGATTACAGAAAATGACCGCAATTGCTTTTCTCACCTCAGCGTAGCTTCCAGTTCTGTCAATCCGATGAATAATATCTATATTAACATTGCTTAAGCGCTCCGAAAAGGTAAGAAACTGTAAAACAAAAGGATGTACATGCTTCTAGCTCAATTCTGAGAACGACCCTTCTAAGTCCCTCCCAATAGCATGCACACTGCAAACAGAAACCCTGCTTCTAAAGACAGGCTACCAGACAGTAACTGTCAATTTGTAAACAGTCCTACCGGAATTTAAATGGGAATAAAAAAAATGCTTAAAATGTCCACGGGCAGGACTTACCCTCTCCCCTCTCGCTCTTCACAACTGAGGCTTGCAGTCCACGCCACAGAAAAAAATGTACACAACAAACTGCCCAGCTCTTGCCTTTTCTGAAACAACTCCTAGATTAATGCGCCCACTAGATATCATACTTTTATTAAATTACGTCATTTTTCGCCCGAAGGCTGCGGTGTGCCTGCTGGGTGACGGTG